TGTGGAATCCAACATGTGCAGGTGGGGAAAATCTCTCCTTATATGCCCAGGTTTCCCACAATTATAACAAGTGAGGTCAAAAGATGGCATGATGCCCGCCGAAGGTGCGACTCCCTTGCTATACTGAATAAAATTATGTTGTACAGTCCCCGAGTAACTACCTGTAGAAGTGGGTAAGGCTGACTGAATTGGTCGGGCTGCAAGTGTCGGCCTACCTGAACCTCTGGAGTAAAAACCTTGAAAGTTACTTGTGCTTCTGGGCTTCTTAGCCAAAGCCTTGGCCTGCCCATCACATCTAACTCTTTCCATTTTCTTCACAAAATCTATCACCTTATCAAAACTTTTCCCTACAGAGGTCATGTGAATAGACAATACATGTAACTTGGAGTTTAGTCCCATGACGAATAGACGAATCATCTCCTCCTCAGTAGTCACCAATTGTGTAGCATATCTAGATAATTCATGGAATTTAGCCTCATAAGTAGCTACAGACATGCCACGCTGCTCCAAAGCCATGAACTCATCCTTCTTGCTATCCTTCAAAGTTCGACGCACATACTTTTCCAGAACAGAGCATGGAACTACGTCTAATTGAGTGGGGAAAAACCAATGATTTGCATTCCACATAGGCCCTCCACCACTTCTTAGCCTCACCTTGAAACTGAAAGGTCACGAACTCTACCCTATGCTGATGTAGAATACCCAACTTATGAAGCCTCTCATAACAATCCAAGATGAACTCATAGGCGTTCTCACTCTCTAAACCATGGAACACAGGCGACATCAATTTCAAAAACTTAGTCAACATCTCATGCTCATTACCAATCATCATGGGACCCAACAAGGGACGGAAGAAGGCATCAGTGCCTAACGCTCCATCTACCCTTGGAATAGTAGCAGTATCGGGCCGGTTGATTTGAGGTTGAGTAGCTTGCACTATTAGAAGGATTCCAGGACCGACTAACCCCTTCTGAAAAGACATGATCTGCTAAACTAACAATGGGTCTAAAGAAGGAATACATGTAGTCTCAGCCTATACCTCCACCTCTGGTACAACATCCTCCTTATTTTTTATTTCAACATTCTCTTATACCCCTTCTTGAGGTGCGGGAGGGGCCTCTTCCCTTGGAAAATTTTCATCTAGGCATCTATCCCTAGCAGGAACCACTCTTCCTCTGCCCCTGCCCCTGCCCCTTACTCTTCCCCTACCCCTGTCTCGACCATGGCCTCTGGTTGCAGACTCTTCACCTGGCTCATTGACGGGAGTTACGGGCCTCACACCGTTGAATCTAGTGTAAACCATCTGTGGATAGAAAAGTGAAGGAGATTAGAAACAAAGAGATTTCCTAAAGACCTATAGCCTCTCAAAGAAAAGTACAAACATCTCTGTACCGTTCCGTAAGACTCTACTAGGCTCGTTTTGGTACAATGAGATCAACGAACCTAGGATCTAATACAAACTTTGTCATGACCCAGACCGTCGTGATTGGCACCCACACTAAACCTCTAATGGGAGAAGCATAAATACAACCCGATAAATCAACTTAACGAAATACTAGGCATTTAAAGATACGAAAGTAGGTTTAAATATCTAAAGAAAAATGGAGTTCTCATAAACTCCAAAAGTTAACAAAAACAAACAACTAAACATTTCTGGAAAACAACTCCTACAACCTGAAAGTCATTCTACCCAAATTGTAATAACGACAAGTCTAAGAACAAGGAGTACAACCCCGAAACTAAACAAACGAAATATCTAAAGCACTAGTCTAAGTCCGAAGAGAATGGACTTAACATAAGAAAAATCCATGGAAGCCTGGAAGAACTGGCTCACCCTTGAATTTGGTCTCGATAAGTTATCTCCTAGCTGAGGTCTGACACCAACCGCCTAAAGATGCCCTGTACTCAACAAAGAATGAGCAAGTCCAGTATCAGTACATAACCACAGTGTACTGGTAGGATCACGCGGCTACTCCAATAAGTGAAACATAGGCAAGCAATTACAACAAGGTATACACACATATACAGAATACACAGAGCAATTATCCTTTCAAGAGCAACATACAGTTCCCCATATCAACGACAATTAGGCATGAATATATAATCACAATGGTCCTCTCATGAAACCCACACCCAAACTGTTAGTCTGTCGGAACGTGAAACTCGATCCAATATACATGTGTCAGAATGTGACACTCGATCCAATAGATGTGTCGGAAAATGACACCCGTTCCAGTAGATGTGTCGAAACGTGACACCCGATCCAGTTAGTACAACCACAATCACAATCACACCCATAATAAATAATGCTCATAGTCATACAATCAAGCAATGGTTTCATGGAATGTAATTACTCATATACATATACTCATTTGCATTAGTTTCGATCCACATTTCCCTATTCACATACATGCATGCATACAACGAAGCAATTAACCGTCATATATCACACAAATAGGAAATCAAACCATCACCCACTTTGAAACCAAGCTGGAATCCTCCTAAGACACTTGAGACTTCCCTTTCCAGCCTCATTCCCTTTGTTTCGAGTCTACAAACGATTAATATAACGCAAGGATCAATAATTATGGTCTAATTTATCCGGATTATAACAAACTCAATAACCCAAGACCAAACCCATGATCCTAATGTGCAGTTAAGGCTTTTACCACAATTAACTCCAGCCCAAAACCCTCCCATAATGATAATTACCTAAGAATCTAAGTTCTACAGATCTAAAAACAGATTAGGGATGTAAAATCCTTACCTTTAGCACCAAAAGTCATGGAAAATTGTCAACAAATCACCCTAGTTCATCTCCTAACTAGTAAGAACGAAGTTTATAGAAAAATAATGAAATTGGGGTTTTCTCTGACTTAAGTCACAACTGGCCCGCTACAGCAGACCCCATCTCGCCACAGCGGCCCTGCCCTAGCGGGATTAATCTCACCCTAGTGGCTTACATTGAGAAAGAACCTCAAAATTTATGTTCCAAGATCCTATTTCACAATACACTTTCAAACCAGGACATTCAAAAACTACCCTCTCACGCCAAGATCAGTTTCGGGAGTTTTACTCGCCTGAATTGAATTTTGTAAAGCCGAATGAGCTCCTTAATGTCTTAGCTATCCACTCATGTGATGAAATTCATAATTAGATCCCCATTCATTACCAAATTTCGCTAGAACATTCCTGACTCAGATTTCGTCCAAATCTGGACTAGGCTAAAATTTTCCAAATCACTACTCAAAAGTTTTCTGGCCTAAATTCCTTCCCCGTTGGCTTTTCTATAACAACGGGAACATGTATTTACAATTAATGAATATTATATAAAAAATAAAAGTATTGTTGAGTCTCCGAAAAGAAAAATAATGTGTCGAGTCTAGTGTCTCGTGCATTATGAATCGAACCTAGAAAAAATAAGATTAAACTAACCGAACAAATGGCGAAGTGTAGAATTTCCGAGGACCAAAACTTTTTTTGTAAGCTCAGAGTCTTATTCTATCACATTATACTTGTACAATATTTTATCGGTATCATGGTTTTACATGAAGAAGTCGTGTGCGTGTCTTGGTATTCATGAATGCTTTAGAAACGTGTCACAATTTCATAAAACCGCACCAATTCACACTGACATAGGTCCATCCATCAAGTGTAGTCTGCAAGGCAATACACCACATATAAAGGATATGGTAATTGATTAAGAGTTTACAACTCAACCTCACTTTCCTTGCACATTTTAACTAAATGCACACCATAATAGATCACTGATAGGACAAAATTTTATAGTGCCGAAGATCAAACAATGACTTATTATTACACATATGAACCTAATTCATGAGATTTTCAATCACATAGGTTGGGTTACCATGATGTTCGATATACAACTTGACAATAGTCCTATTTGAAGCTTCATTTGTTAATGTTTTCCCAAATATTTAGTCAAAGAATTGACCAAATTCACTTCGAACTTCACACAATTGATAGATATAATTCCATCTCTTAAAAGATGTTATATTACTCTTTGTCTCAAATCAATATAATCACTATATGGAGGTTCATTCACTTTATATTAACATACATACTTGTTAAAAAATTACTTAATCCCTTAGGACCATTATCATCCAACTCCAATATATTTAGTTTATTTTTGAATCATTCTGATACCAATGCTCTTTTAAGGACTTACTCTAGAAGAAAATATAAGCGAGCAGCATGTGGAGATAATCTATCTTAGTTTATATGTCTTACTTTCTTTGTATTAAGTAGGATAAAATATATAAGATGTAATTATCTATAATCTATAGTAGTTATAAAGTAGAAGTTATTACTAGCAGGTAGCAACAGTTATTTACAGCAGTAACTATTTTTATCTATCTGTTAGGAGTTATTTATGTTTACTATAAATATTTGTATTTTAGGAGAATTCTGGGAAGGAAAAATATTATTATGTCTTTATATTTGGAGATTTGTCCACTCCATACGGACATTGTTATTGGTTAATGCAGTGTTTAAGATTCTTGTACTTTATTTAACCAGTAAAGTTTCATTTTCATTTCATTTCATATCAGTTTCTATCATTTTGGTATCAAAGCAGACTGATCCAATATGGTTAATACCAGATCTTATAGTTCGCAATCACAAGTAGACGTTCACAATGTTGAAACCCTTGCGCAACAACTATCTGCTATTGCATCAAAATTAAACACAACTGATTCATTCGCACCAGATGCTGCTTCACTGAAAGTCCAGACTAGTCACATCCAACAAGAGGAAACCAGTTATCGAACTCGTAACAGAGGAAAAAGTGCAAATGTTTGGCAAGAAGAGGAAGAAGACATCGATAATACAGGGTGGCCAAGAAATCCTCCCTGAAGGCCATACACGAAGATAGACTTTCCTAGATTTGAAGAGGAGAGCCTCGGGGTTGGATTTTTAAGGCTGAAAAATATTTCTGCTACTGTCAAACTCCAGATGAACACAAAGTTGACATTGCTGCTATGTATCTGGAAGGTGATACGTTTGATATCTTCTCTTGGATCAATCATGAATGAACTTTGCTCTATTGGGAAGAACTTGTTAAACCATTGCAAGAAAATTATGGGCCTACAGAGTTTCAAAATTCGGACGAGCATCTGCGTAGCATCCGACAAACTGGTTCAATACAGGAGTACCGTCAAGAATTTGCAAAACGTTCATCTAGAGTCACAGACTGGCCAAATCAGTATATCTTAGGGGTTTTCATGAATGGGCTTAAAGAAGAACTCAAATCAGATGTGAGAATTCATAAGCCTAGAACTGTTTATAAAGCCATGAGCCTTACAATGGAATTTGAGCAAAAAGTTAGTTCTAATCGTGGGCATAAGTCTCAATGGTCAAATCTGTCACAATCCAACACAATCCAAACTGGTTCTGCACGTGATGTTCCTTACTAATCAGTAGGCAACCAACACGTATCACGAACCAATCCGAATTCTGCACAGATGTCTCCTCGTCCTTCTCTGAATCGTGCTTGGGAGATAGAGAAGCAGAATCGCATAGCCAAAGGACTCTGTTTTAGGTGTAATGAAAAATTTGCACCAGTTCACCGTTGCAAGACAGCATATCTCACTCTTATGGAGGCAAATGACAACATTGAAGGTGGTGAATCTGGAGAACAAATGTCAAGTGACATTATTGATGGTGATGCAGGTACAAATGACCTTGCTGAAATTTCATTCCATGCCTTTCTAGGTAACACAACAGGCACAACAATGAAACTTTAAGGGACCTTAAATGGATGCAAGGTGCTGCTTCTGGTTGATGGTGGATCATTCCACAATTTTATCTCAGAAAAAATTGTTGAAGAATTACAGTTATCTGCTAAAGTTGTGCCCTATTTTGGAGTTCAGATGGGCAATGGAGATATCATATGTTGCAACCGTTTGTGCCAAAATCTTGTTGTGAAATTCCATGGATTAATTATTGATCAAGATTTTTATCCTTTCTCTGTTGGAGGAGTAGATTTGGTGCCTGGAATTAAGTGGCTTGCTCCTTTAAATACAGTTCAAGCAAATTGGAATGAGATGTTTTTTATTTTTAATTTAAATGGGAAGCGATATAAACTTCAAGGGGTTCCACAAGAATCAAATGCACCAGTTGCTTTTCAGTATTTCTCCAAGGAGGTTGATACTTCAGGTACTTCTCTACCCAATGATATTCAAAGCTTGCTTCATAAGTTTGAATCAATTTTTCAAGAACCCAATGCCCTACCACCTTTTCGTCAACACATTCATTCTATCACTTTGATTCCTAACTCAAGACCACCCAACATCTGTCCGTATCGTTATCCGTATTTCCAAAAATCAGAAATTGAAAAACAAGTTTCTGAATTACTCCAAATGGGTTTTATAAGGTCAAGTACCAGTCCATTTGCTAGCCCTGTCCTTCTCGTCGAGATAAAAGGCAATACATGGCGTATGTGCATTGATTATAGAGGTCTCAACCAAATCACTATTCCAGATAAGTACCCTATTCCAAATATTGATGAGCTTTTGGACGAATTGCATGGAGCAACTATTTTTTTGAAGATTGATTTGCGTTCTGGTTACCACCAGATACGTATCGATCCAGCCGACATTCATAAAACTGCTTTTCATACTCACTTTGGACATTATAAGTTTATTGTTATGCCCTTTGGTCTCACTAATGCTCCTTCGACATTCCAATGTGCTGTGAATGATTTGTTTAGACCACATCTGCGCAAATTCATTCTTGTAATCTTTAATGACATCTTGGTTTACAGTCAGACCTTTGAGCAACATATCAGTCACTTGGAACTTGCTCTCCAACTTCTGAGAGACAATTGTTACTATGCCAAAACTTCTAAATGGTCATTTGGACAAGTCCACATTTCTTTTCTGGGTTATGTGATTTCCGAAAAAGGGGTTGGTGTTGATCGGGATAAAGTTCAAGCTGTCTTGGAGTGGCTAGTACCAATTAATGTGAAGGAGTTACGTTGATTTCTTGGGTTAACAGGTTATTATCGTAGATTTGTGAAGGGTTATGGAATGATGGCTTGACCACTAACTGAACTTACCAAGAAAAATGCTTTTCAATGGTCGAACTCAGCAGAGAATGCTTTCCAACTTCTAAATCAAGCTTTAACAACTGTTCCAGTACTACAACTTCCAGATTTCACTCAACCATTTGTGGTGGAATGTGATGCTTCTTCAGAAGGAATAGGGGCTATTCTTCTTCAGGATAACCATCGTATTGCTTATTTTAGTAAGGGACTTTCTTTTTCCAGTCGTTTGAAGTCTACTTATGACCGCGAATGAAGCATGATGTTAAGATCTTTGTTCAGAACTGTTTGGTTTGTCAACAAGCCAAATACCAAGCTCTAGCACCTGCTGGACTTCTACAACCCTTGTCTATACCTGAAAGAATTTGGGAAGATGTCTCACTTGACTTCATTGTAGGACTTACCACATCTTGTGGTTTTGATACAATTTTGGTTGTCGTAGATTGTATCAACAAGTATTCTCATTTCATCCCACTTTCTCATCCATATACTGCCAAGATTATTGCTAAGGTTTTTTGCAGAGAAATTGTGCGTCTTCATGGCATTCCTCGGTCAATTCTATCTGATCAGGATGTTATCTTTCTCAGTGCTTTTTGGCAGGAGCTTTTTTGACTTAGCCAAACAAGGCTAAGAATGGGTACCTCTTACTACCCACAATCTGATGGGCAAACAGAGGTAGTTAACAGATGCTTGGAATCGTATTTATGATGTTTTGTTATAGAGCAGCCTCATACAGGGAGTCAGTATCTACCATGGGCAGAGTTTTCTTTTAACACGAGTTTCCACTCATCCACAGAAACTACCCCATTCAATATTGTTTATGGTAGGGACTCTCCATCCATTTTTCCTTATGTTCATGGAGAAACAGGCATTGCTGAACTTGAAGAACAACTTTTGAATCGTGATGCCATGTTGAAAATTCTCAAGGATAACCTTTTAAAGGCTCAAACTCGAATGAAACAACAAGTTAATTCTCATCGTCGAGATGTTACCTTTCAAGTTGGAGATTCCGTCTTTCTACGTGTTCAGCCTTACCGTCAACGTTCTTTGGCTCATCACAGGTGCAAAAAAATTTCACCTCGATTTTTTGGACCATATAAAATTGTACGGTGTGTTGGACCTGTAGCTTATGAACCGGAGCTTTCTGCTTCCTCCAAAGTACATCCAATTTTTCATGTATCTTTGCTCCGTTCAGCTCATGGTCAGCAACCTGTTATACCACCAACCCCTCTTCCTCTTAATGAAGATTGGAAACTTACCATATCTCCTGCCAAGATTCTTGCACATCGATGGGTTAAAGAGCTGGTTCTTCTTCTTTGGAACTGCTCATTCACTGGGTTGCCCGTCCGCTTGAAGAAGCTAGTTGGGAAAACTATGATCTCATTGTAGATCAATTTCCTTCTTTTCGCCTTGAGGACAAGGCAACTTTTCAGGGAGGATGCACTGATACGAATGCTCCTTTAAGGACTTACTCTAGAAGAAAATATAGGCGAGCAGCATGTGGAGATAATCTATCTTAGTTTATATGTCTTACTTTCTTTGTATTAAGTAGGATAAAATATATAAGCAGTAATTATCTATAATTTATAGTAGTTATAAAGTAGAAGTTATTACCAGCAGGCAGCAATAGTTATTTACAGCAGTAACTATTTTTATCTATCTGTTAGGAGTTATTTATGTTTACTATAAATATTTGTATTTTAGGAGAATTCTGGGAAGGAAAAATATTATTAAGTCTTAATATCTGGAGATTTGTCCACTCCATACGGACATTGTTATTGGTAATGCAGTGTTTAAGATTCTTGCACTTTATTTAACCAGTAAAGTTTCACTTTCATTTCATTTCATATCAGTTTCTAACACATTCACACATTAGATGAACATATTGAGTTTTGAATAACAAGATCAAGTGAAATCTTCTCACTTTAAAAATTCATGACATGACTTTAATAAGACACTTTACCCTCATATTTTCAAAAGTTTAATTTGGAAAATAATATTTCTATAAAGAAAGTCCAATCAATTTTTCATAAAGGAATTCCATCATATAAATGATAAGTTGATAACATAGCTTCACTCAAATATTATATATCTCCATTCAAAAATTTATTTTTTACTCTAGTGTTGATAACGCTCAAACAACTCTCAAAAATAAATTTGAAGAGTAAATGATCGTTGTCAATAAAACTACTCAACTAAGAATCAGAGTCGAATCCCAACTAGGAATTTGAAAATGTGTACATATGCATTGTAGTATGTTAGAACAAGACAGTGGATAATCGATACGCTCAAATTACACCTCCCTAAAGAAGCATTAAGCGATCGTTTATCAAGTAAAGAACCCAACTTGTAGGTTGGGGTCGATCCCACGAGGAAAATGGTTTAGACTTCACTTTAACCAACAATTATATTTGTTTAGTCAAATTACTTCCAGAAACAAGTAATTAAAGGGGGGGAATTTGTGAAACAAATTGTAAGAATTCAATAAGTAATTAGTAAACAAAAGTCAATTTTGGTTTTTATCAAGATGAGATAATTAACTAGGGTATATGTGTTCTCCACAAGCTCATAACACAGTAATCCTAGTAATAGCAATCCTTTCCTAATGTACTACATGCAAAGTGATAAGTTAGGTATCTCTAAATCATTG